CCGCTGGCTTTTGCCCATTGCTGTTAAAAACCAACCCCAAGAGGACAATAATTAGGGAAAAAAATATAAAATAAATCTACATTTTCTTTTCAGCCCTCCTTCCTTTCAATCCTCTGCCAACGCTCGGTGACATCCCGCTCCCGATCCGCTTTTATTGCCCCTTAAACTTGTTCCCCCCCTCTTCCAGGAGCAAACGGACCCGCACGGCTCCGGGTGAGGGCTCTTACTCCGGCGGACGGCTGTCGGGTCCCAGCGCTCGCTGGAGGGAGATGCGATCGCTGGCGAAGGCGTTGAAGCAATGTTTCTCGTAACCTCGCTCCTTCTCCTTCGTCTCCTCCGGCGTCCATCGCTCTTTCTTGAAGGCTTTGCCGTCGGCTCCGGGGCTGGCGGGGGCTTGGGGGGGTCTCTCCATCAGCGGCCGAAGTTCCGCCGCCGTGTAGACGCCGGGCAGGCAGGAGCGAGCACCGGGCGGCGGTTCCTCCTGCCGAACCGGAGCGCCGATCTGCAGCTTCGGCATCGAGTCGCGGATGTTGTTGACCGCCCCCAGCATGAGGTCGAGGACTTGGTCCTTCCCCTGGACGATGTTCTTCAACCAGGGTTCCTCGCTCGGATCCTTGTTCCCCACGTCCTTCTGGAGGATGAAGAGGAAGATGACGAAGACGGCGCCCGCCAAAGCCACCTTCAAGGGGCTGTAACGTCTCCGGAAAAGCCTCATTTTTATTTTTTGGGTGGGTTTTTTTGTTTTTTTTTTTTCCTGTGGGGTTTCCGGAGGGTCCTCCCTGCGGCGATGGGTGTTTCAGGCACGTGAGGTCTCAGGGTGCTTCATGATGACCCGCTCCACTCCGCTGACCTGGGGAGAAAGAGGAACGCCCGCAGGTTAATGCACAGACCGGATGCACTTCAGGTGCATCCCCTCGACATGAATATTAATTATATATTAATACAAAGTTCATTCCCTGCTAGAGAGCAAGCGAGACCCCTGCAATCCTCTCCCCTCCGACCCGTAAATTCACGCTGCAAATAAAACATCGGGAAAAAGGGAGGTTGGCAAGATGCTGCCAGACGTGCTGGATGCGGCCACCGCGAGCGC